TTGTCAGCGGTGTACCTTGAACCCAGATATATTCGACTATTACCAAACTGAATTTTCTAAAGCAAACATAAATATAGTGTACAAAGAAACAACTCAAGCTTACCCGGTCCAGATTTTGTTCCCATGCAACTGACCATTGTAATACGAATACCATTAGATCCTTCTTTCCCAAAATTATATCTTCGGAAACAACAAATTGAACAAAGAAAAAGAGAACATTCACATTTTCCATATTCTGCAATCCTACAGGTTTTCTATCTTCATGACCGCGCATTCTAATGAAATAAGCGGCAAGTCTAGAATACTTCAGATCCCATGAGAAAAGAACAGACCTAAGTGAACATACTTGGTGTAACTATCTCTTCCATCAGCATTCCTACATCAGACTCTGTTTCCTCTATCTCCCTTGGCCGTTAGGAATGCGGCAGGCAACTGAATTAAGCAAGAGCTACCTAGTAGATTTCTTGGACTACACGAGGATGTGTCAATAGCATACTACTGCCAGAGTACCTACAACAGGTTTCACTAAACCAATATTATTGTCACAGTTTCATCTTTTCTTCTAGTTATCAACTTATGATTATCCACCCATACTTATGAGAGCAATTTTTGTCTTAAAGTTCTCTATCAAAGAAAACAATATTTAGGTCTTCCATAGTTAAGCACTCTGAGTAAAGAGAAACAAAAATTACAAAGGAGGTCCCATAATTACTTGGGAAGGACCTCCACCAAATTCCCCTTCCTTTGTAGTGCACAAGACAAGCCTGTCACATATGAAGCCAAGGATCCAAAAGAGACCGGGCGTGCCATTTCCGTGCATACATGGACAATGTGAAAGCCATTCCTGAAAGTTTCAAAATAAAACATAACATCACTTTTTGAAAGAGAAAGAAGCGACAAAAAGAATGAGAGTAAAATGCTGATCTCCCCTCTGAACTTCACCTAACTTTTGATTTACCCCCTAAGCTTTTAAATTGGAAAATCAAGGACTTAAACTAATTTTTTTGGCCAATTCCTCCTCCCCCCCCTCCCCCCCCCTCCCCCCCCGGCCCCGGCCGTTAGTTTTTCATAAATTCCAGCCAAATAAATGTTAACTCTTATTGTGTGCACACCACATGACTTTCCCTTGAGAACAAAAGCGTCACTTCGCTAGACCTTCAGATGCAAAAGCTATAGAATCACACAGATTTGCATAGGTCAACATTCAGAAATCTAGGGTTTTCAATTATTTTAAAGAACGAAGCGACCGAACTACCTCACATGTTGTGCATATGTTTTCATTTAACAGAAATTTGGATTGGTTGGGGGGGGGGGGGGGGGGGGGGGGGGGGGGTTTATCGTGCAGGGGTGTGGAGGGGAATTGAAAGATTGGTATATTTTGTATGTCAAATATGCAAACCACTACCTTTTGATTCTCTCGGAGAAGTGACGGAGTTCAGCTAGAATCTCAGTGTCTCCTTTCTGCAGGGTGTCATTAAATACTTCAGGTCAGCAAAATTTGTTATCCATATCCAGCCTTCTCAAATCGGATGCCTCCATGGTGGTAACCATTCCATTGAGGACCATTGAATCTATCCGAAAGAGTGGCTCCCAACAGCTTACCCTTCTGGTTTACAGTACATCAACAGAAAGACACTCTTAAACTAACCCTCATGAACTCTATATACTTCTTTCACTTTCGAAGAACATGATCACCGACAATTGTCCAAAACAAGTAAAACAACAAATATTTCATCACATAATGGTACATAAGCCTAAATTAGACCTTTAGTTCCCATGGTTTAGGCTCAATTCCACTGTACGTTTTATAATTCCAATTTCAATAAGTTCATTTGTATAGATTAGTTCCCCATCATTTTCAACGTGCTCCAAATTTACGTTTCTGTCACATTGTTTGACGAAAACTTTCAAATTATAACCAAAGCATGTTCACCATGGCCCGACTTCAGATTGTTAGAAACACCGCACCAAATTCTTAGAGTTCAGAATACAAGAAATACTAATACTTATCAGGGATGATTAAGGTACCTTGAGGTCTTGGCAGCCTGCTTTTCCAGCTCCAGTTGCTCAATCCTATCCACCAACAGCTCTTTCTCTCTGTTGATTTTGTTGAGTTCTTCTACCGCCTTAACGCGTTGCTGGTTTAACCGCAGAATATCTGAATTTTCATTCCAAAAGTGGAATGGAATTAAAACAGGTTAAAAATAAATAAATAAATAAACAGAGAGAAAAAAAAAGCCACAAATAACATGAATTGCAATTGAGGAGTTTGGTTTTGGCTTACTCTACTGAGCTTCTCTGAAGAGTTTCCAAATGTCTTCGGCCCGAGAGACTGACTCCGCATTTCCATCGCCCTTAACCCTAAAATTAATTGAGCTTGGAATGATTAGATCAAAGTACAGCAGAAAATTGAGGTTTTAGAAAATAATGATAACAATTAAGTGACTGACTTCATTTCTGAGGAGGAGGAGGAGGCATTGACGGCGGAGCAGCAAACTAGTGGAGTTAGAGGTTTCTGATGCGGTGGTTGCCATTGCCACGGGCGGAGGATCGAGCTGCTCATCAGCGCCTTCATTTTTCCGACCAAACTGTTTTGAGTAATGGAGGACGAGGAGACGATAAAAGTCGTGATTTTTCTTTTCTGTAATTTATTAATTTTGACTTAATTAGCGTTGAAATCACAATAATTTTTATTAAAATATTACTTACCTGTATCCGCAACGCAACCGGCTAACTTTACTGAATTCGTTTTTTTTGTTTTTGGTAACGGGTTTGGTGATTTTCTGTCGGATTGGATCGGCAACAAATATTTCAATACCAATTTAGAAAAGTTTTGGACTCGAACATTAATTTTAATTTTGGATTATTAGAATTTATCAGAAATTTCGAAACATAATTTAGATTTCCTACAATTTGCAAGGCTTTGATCAATTCATACACGATATGCAATTTATGCTCATGGTTCATCTCAAACTATCATGTGGAGACCACTTCATGCACCTAAACTCGAAATTAATTTTGATGGCTGCCGATGGGTTCATCATTAGAGATGCTAATGATTCACCTGTTGTGGTTGGTGCCTACAATCCTAGAGAAGTTACAATTTTTGTTGCTGAAGCTCTTGCTCCTCGTGATGCTTTGAGATTTGCAATAGTCAAAGGTTTCAAGGGCATGTATGTTGAAGGAGATTCCAAACTTATTATTGATGTCATTTTGAACAAGTGTAGTACATCTTCTGACAATCATTGACGACATTATATCTCTTGCCAATTCTTTTTCTTTTATCTCTTGGTCACATGTCTTTGTGAGGCGAATTTTCTTGCTGATGTCATTACTAGTGTTGACCACTCGATATAGGATACTTATATTTGGGATAGTCATTTCCCATTACTGCTACAAATACATTTTTATAGGGAGCAGTTCTACTAGAGGTTTTTCTCTTTAATTAAATTTCTTTTTCATAAAAAAAAATTAATGAAAATGGCTTCAAAACTTTGCATTTTAACCAAAAATCATAAGAACAAAAAATAAAAAAAAACATAAAATATAAACATGTGTCAGCGCACGTCCCCCCAACCCCGCCCTCCTCCAATATAATTAAATAAGAAAAATACATGAAAATATTATATTATGTATGAATTAGCTAACTATAACAACCATTTTTGGGTCTTTCACAAAGCAAGATAACACAAACACACATCTGGTACTATAATCTTGTAAGGTGTATTTTCATGCATATAATAAATAATATATAAGAATGATATATGTATATTTCACTCTTACCTACCTAAGGCAAAAGAAATAATATACATATATACAAAGTGGAGTACCGTTAAGTTTCATAAACAATGTAGTATCGTTAAGTTTCATAAATAGTGTGATAAGTTTCATAAATATTGTACTAAGTTTCATAAACGGTGTAGTAACGTTAAGTTTCATAAACAGTGTAGTAAGTTTTATAAATAGAATGTGTGAGGGCATGAGGGTCCCGTGCGTCATTTTTTTTATTTTGTTAATAATAAAATTATGTCTTTTTTAATTCAAATTTAAGTTCTTTTGTTATTTTTATTAAATTTAAGCATTTTTCATTAAATAAGTTATAGCATGATTTTTTTAATTAATAAACTTGACCCAAACCGTTTTCATGAAAATTTCCCAAAAAATAGGCTTTAAAATTTTTCCAACTTTTATGTATGCACCATTTAATATATTTTTCTATTTTTGTGATCTTTGTACTTCAGTACGTGTGGATTATGTATATATTTTTATTGTGATCTTTGTACATCAGTACGTTTGGATTATACACACACACACATATATTAGACAGGACAATGTTTGTGAAGTTTGCATTTCATTTCCCTTTCCAAATTGATACTTAATTTTTCGAATATTTCTATGAAAATATCAACAATTTCGTGGATATTTTAAACAATGATAGTAGCCGACAAAGCAAAGGTGAATCAACAGCCAGAATTAAAAGTAAGATACAAGATTTTTTTCGATAGAAAAAAAGTAAGATACACAATATTTTTGATAAAAAGAAATAATGCTTTCAAGGACTCTCTGGTTGAACTCTTGAACCAAAAGCCGCAAGTCAAACTCAACTCTTTAAAACTGAAGCTCCACTTTAGCTTGAGATAAGATTCCTAAGCAGAGACGAGTCCTTCACAAGAAACATATGGATTCTGATCTGAAACATGCACCTGACTCACTTACACTACTCTCAATCTCAAATTTTCTCATTTTTTATTTTTTCTAATAAAAATATGGATCGCCTACAATGCGACGTCCCACTCAGTAATACGAATATTAAGCAAGATCTAACGGGTGGCTTTAACTCCTTGTATGCAAAGATCTAATCCCCTAATTTTCATAAACCACTAAGCAGTACGTACCATGGAAGAAAAGTTGCCAAAATATATCCGAAAATACTTCCCGACGCACCTTGGGGTGTCATTCTGTTTATTTGTAGGCGGAGGGGTGTTTTGCAAAACCAAAAATAAAGCCACAAAATGCATCTTCATCCCCGCTCTCCAGCACCCAAAAAACTACATTCTACATTATTTTACGTTGGAAATACATTTGAATTTGCAACCAAAAAAATCTCCTACAACTTCAGGATAATTTAGTCCCAAAACATCAACTCCGCTTTTACAAGAGCAAAATACAATGGTGGTGGGACTTAAATTGACCAAAGAATTTTTTTTTTTTTTTTTTTTTTTTTTTGGTTATATTTTTGTCAAGTGAGGCGAAAAAAATTCCCCTTCCTTCACTTCCCTTCCCTGTGGCTGGTCACTCTAATGACCGACCTTACGCTTGCGATTTTGTTTAGCCATCCGTTCCCTCCTTTCTTCTTCTTCTATCAACCTAGCCTGCTCTTCGTCCTCCCTTCTTGCGATTAGCGCACTGCAACATCACAACAAATATATAATCTCAGAAAGGCTCATACACCACAATGTACGTTATCTATCACAGACACAAGTGCAGTTAGTGCTAAGAAATCACACAATCATGATACTTTACTGATAGTGAAACACCATGCTTACCTTCGTCTCTCCTCCTTCATAATATCCTCAAAGTTCGCCTCCATATCACTATCGTCGTCGTCACTAGCGTATCTTTCTGGTTGACTGCAAGAATATCGGATTGATAATTAGAACAATATTATACAGTTCCTAAATTCCTAAACCATCAAAGTTTCAAACCAAGATGAAAATTCTTGTAATGGGCATCTCCCAATACGCTCGGCTCTAGTAATGGCCAACACCAGGCAACTTTCAATCTCTGATATTTTACAAAATCATTCCATAAATTCCAATTTGTTAAGATCAGGCTTGTCACCAAGTTATAATACCTTCAGGCTTCAATTGTATATAAAAAAATGTATTCAACGTAGCAGAATGAAATAGAAAAAAACATATTTGGCAGGCATTTAACTTTTACATTGTTAACCATGAATTGACCAAAAAGGGCTAAACTGCATTCAGTAGCCCAATGTCATTTCAGTAAAGCTGAATTTTGAAATCAACCTCAGGTTTTACAACCATTTAAAAATTAAGAACAGAAGAATAAAAAATAATGAATACGCTACTTACCGAAACATTTTTCTGATCTCACTTCTAAAATCCAGACCCGGTTCATCATCATCTGGGTGCTGTCTCATAGGCTTCTTTTTGGGAGGACGCTCGTGAGACACAGGACGTGACGAGATTTGCCTTTGCATTTGTGGCTTGTTTACGTGCTAAATTCCATGAAAAGTTAACAGATATTATGCACTTACAAAAAAAACTACAGAAGTAGGTCTCTGGAAAATTTACCATTCAAGGGAAAGAAAATATGTAGCAGATGATGGGATTCATACCTGAGGTCTTGACAATCCTGATGACTGTTTCGGTAACACTTTGGGCTTATTAGATTCTCGTACTTCTTTTTTTTGTTGCAACTGCTGCCTTGGAATAGATGACTGCAACTTTGAAAGAGGTGGTTTGGTGGGCACACCAGACATGGGATTCTTTAGGCCTGGTGTAGAAGCTTTCCTCTCAGTGGTTGAAGCAGGCATCTTAGATGGCAATCTTTTTGTCTCTAGAGGCCGGCCAGGCCCATTTCCACCGTTGCTACCAAGCTGTCTTCTCGAGTCCATTGATGTTGCATCGGGTCGTCTACTGGCAGAACTCAACTTATTGGGCCCCACTTTAGAATGCATCTGTCCATTCGTAGATACCAGTTTCCTTTCATCACGACGGCCAGGTACAACTCTACCATTATTTGCTGAAGGTACATGTCTGCCATTATTTGCTGAAGGTACATGTCTGCCATTATTTGCTGAAGGTACATGTCTGCCATTATTTGCCGAAGGTACATGTCTGCCATTATTTGATGAAGGTACATGTCTGCCATTATTTGATGAAGGTATATGTCTGCCATTATTTGATGAAGGTATATGTCTGCCATTATTTGATGAAGGTATATGTCTGCCATTATTTGTCGCCATTTGACTAGATCGCACCTCTTTAACATCAGCAAAAAACCCATATAAGTTCCTCGATGAAAATAGAATGTTCAATGACCCATAAATAGAGAGCCAGATAAGAGGTAGTAGATCACAACACACCAGAATTTGAAACAGAGGCATTTTGAGGTGGTCGATCTTTTGTAGGGGCTGGGGGCTCTGCATCGTCAGAAAGTAAAAACGAGTAATCTCTTGTATCCTTAATCTTTTGTACTTTACTCTTAACCTGCACCTTCCAGAAATTCCATTAGCACATAATAAGGCAACTAGAAGACTAATTCAGAGGTAAAACACCAACAAAAACAATTTGCTCCAAGCACCTCATTAATGACTTTGGGTTTCTGATCATTTGATACAGATTTCGTTACAGCAGAGGTTGATCCAGAGCTCTTCTTGTTCTGCAAAGGAAAGTGCCATCATCAAATTAATGCACTATAACTTATAGACATGTTTTTGTGCTAAAACAAAAAAGAAGAGTTGCAACAAAATATTTTTCTGCAACAAGAATTTAGGCATGTAAAAAATCTTATTAAGCATATCATTGTAAACATTAGCAAGTTCATAAAATGAAGAGAGTTCCAAGAAAATATTTTTTTTTGTTACATAAAAAGGAATAGCTAATGCGGGGGTTAAAAACTAAACAAAATAAGCAGCAAGACACAAATCAGGCATGCCAAGTAAGTCATAAAGTTTCAAGATATAAACCTATACGGGTAAATCTAGAAATTCCCAGACCCTCACCAAGAATCAAGTGATCGGTAACCCTTTCATCAAATTTAATATTAGAACCAATAAAAGAGGTGGAAAGCAAAAGCAACTCCAAAATGGTTCTAGCAACAATAAGATTGTAAATTACACCACATGGAAAGAAGAATCTCAAATAATATGCACATCAAATCAATTTCTTTGAACAAACTAAAGTTCCCAAAAATTTCCACAAATAACAAGATACGACATAACACAGAAATTACAGGGCCAAAACTATCCCATAATCATTTTGGGATCAAGACGGCATAAGTGGACTCATTATATGTGTAAAGTGTAGACCAATTGTATATGACAGGAACAGAAAAAAGTCAATGTGAGCAAGTAATGTTATGAATTTATGAGCTATATCAAAAAGGGGGAGTAATAATTCATACATGATGGACAGAGTTGGTAGAACTGGATGTTAGGTGCTTGGTTTCTAACAACGATTTGCTTTCTTGAATCACTCTCTCAGCAATAACTGGTTGAGATGGGCCAAAGAAAGATCCAAAACTGTAGAATAAGTAGGGAAACAATTTAAAATCAATTTCAAAACTTCTAATTTACCAATTACCACTATATTGTCCACAGAAAAATTATGAAACAAATCATCTGTCTGATAACCTCATCACAAAAAAAGAAAACAAGGAACTGCAAATAAAGTTGCAAGGATGACAACTCTTCAAAATGTATTCTCATTTCTCTATTTTACTTTCAGACGGTGATACCCCTGGAAAAAAAAACACATTAGCCTGTCCTAGAAATTGCAACTATAAAACCTATATTGTTATAGGCATTGGTAGAATGCAAGCAAATCAATACATTACAGAACTATTTTAGTTGCATCACTTACTGCTACCCTACAACTTCAGATAACAAGGCCATATATTGTTCATCAAATAATCATTGGTTACTTACAATAAGGAAGCATTGAACCTAGTAGTAGAAACAAACAAAACTGCCTGCCTTGTCTTACTAAGAAAGCATGGATATTCCACGAAGGAAAACCAGCGATTATATAGTAGTTACTCACTTGTCATAGGGGAGCTTCTTCTTTTTATTACTGGAGTTGGCCAAAGAAGAACCGCTTTTCTTCTTTCGTAATTGTTCTTTCAAGCGTTGTCTCAACTCAAGGTATGCCAATGCTTCCTTGGTAGGCTTTGGATCTTCCTCTTCCTCTTCATATTCTTCACCATCCTCATCGTCCTCATAATCCTCATATTCGTCGCCTGATTGACCATAATCCTATCCCAAAAAATTGTCAAACTAATTTTCTTCAAAAAATAATAAGAGTATCAATATCGAAAATTTACATATAATAAAAAACAGATTGACGAAGATCCAAAATTTGCTTACATCTCTATCATATCCCTGCATTTCCCTCTCGAATTGAACAATTACAAATGCAAGTACCTGAAAAATCACAAAAGAAAACCCTAATTTTTATCATGTTGAACTGAAACAACTGTTCAAAATCGGCAATTTTTGTCAAATCAAACAATTATAACCAAAACCCATATAGGCTCTGTTCGATTCCATGGATTTGGCATCGCATTTGTGCCCTGATTTTGAAATTGGCCAACCCAATGATGAATCCGCAGTCCGGATGCATAAATTTCATTCAAAAACTATGAAATTCCAATCCCAAATCTCCTTAAACTGAAAATTAGAACGAAACTACTCACCTGAAATTCCTTTCAACCACAACGCCAATCGAAAATCTTAAGGCCTCTGAAATCGAGGATAATCTGTGCGGAGCCGCTAAAAGTGCGATTCCGATTACCCTGCCTTCAAGCCCTAGGCATCGAAAATCAAGTTCAATTTGAAGACAAATGGATACGATGCGATCAGAATTCTCGAAGAGAGAATCTGCAAGCCCTAATTTGTACAGCTTTGGGGTTCGACGTTACTCTGAAACGGAGAGTCCAATTTTCGGAATAAAAATAGCAATAGTGTCCACGCGTTGCTGCGGGTGTTGAAACTATTGGATGTAAAAATGCATAAAAAAACATGTGAATATGGTGTAAAATGATATGTAAGCCAGTTTTGTATTGAGAAGGCAGGCACACATCTTAATCAAAGCGAAAAATGATGTCTAAGGATTAGATCTAGTATATTTCAGCTAATGATACAACTGCCTCTGAATTCCTTGCTGCAAACTTGCCTATTGAAAAGCCTCTGAATTTATAGCCTAAATCAGCATCGCACCATTAAATCACATTATTAAATCGGAATAAAAACATTGAAAAACATATAAACTCATGCCCAACTTTGATATCTGAACAAAACAAAGCCTTCAGATCAAAGCAAAAAAGTGAAGATGGTTAACTGAATTCAATAAAAACTGAAATATGATTACCCTTAAGCATGCTTTTTTTCAGGAATCAGTAAAACTTGAAAATATCCCAAACAGACTCTTATACCTCATGTATCCAATAGAGCTTAAATTTCTAAGGGAAAAACTTGAAATCATATAGGTAAGAGTTGTGTTCACTTTGCCAGATAAAGTGAGAAAGACAGTTTTCCAAAATTCTAATAACTTTACACATTATGAATTTCGCAACAAAACACATTGGTTCCAGCACTAACAACATAAAAAGTTTTAAAATTGCAATCTAAACTAATGTTTTCTTTCTTCCTCTCCCTGTTCGTAAAACATGAAGACAAAGCTTTCCGAAATTCCAACGAATCCTCTCATTTCTTCGCAAAAATCATAAATATATTTGAATCCAACAATTATCAATGCATTTTAAAACTGGAAAAAAGCAGGACATAAAACTTATCCAAAATATAAGAAGAGCGTCACAGGTGCCAGCAGATCTCAAATTCATTAACCGAGCAACCAAAATGTACTGTTTTAGCCGGGGAAAGGCCCAACAGAAAAAAGTCAAACCATAAAAAACATACTGAAAAAATTTTCCAGCCCCCTGCTGCACCAACAAACTGTGTATCTACAATTTGATAGCGTTTCTACCAGACATATACGAAATCGCATTAATGATTATTAAACTTGACCCTACACTACATATGAAAATTTACTCATTGCTCTGACAAATCACTCTCACAAATCCAAAATAACATAGATATCACTCTTCTAATTTTATCACGACTACCTCAAATCTTATGAATCAAGCATAACCATCACAGCAAGTCAAATGAAAAAAAGCAGCTGTGGATTTAAATAAAATTGCTAGCACAAAAATCAGCAAGAAAACATGCATTACCAATTAACAACCCAAACATGCACAAAAAAGGTCCCAAATCACCAAAACAAAACCAAAAAAAGTAAAATTTAGCCGCAAAGAAAACAAATAATACATTTATATACCTTTAGCACAGAGAGTTCCAAGAATCAGAATCGAAAATCCAAAAATCTGAAAGGGACGGTTTCCCGAATCTGGAAAACAAAATGCATCAGACACGCACAATAACGATCCAATGAAAAAAAAAGAAGATCCAAACCATATAAGCTGATAAACATGCAAAACTCACCTGGAAACGCTGGATTAGATCGGTCTCAACCAAGTTCGAAGCGAACCCAAGATGGGCACAAAATTTCTGAAATCAAAGAGCAAAGCCCATGAGATATTAACAAAAAGCGTCCAAAGGGCTTCTTTAGCCAACTCACTTTTTTTATGTACAAACATTAGTCTTTTAACACAAATTTTCAAGATTGTCTGCGTGTTCACCAAAAACACAAAGGCTTCCAAAATTCCAACGACCCTTTTAATTTCTTCTCAAAAATTCAAAATCCATTTTAATCCAAACTGGAAAAAAGCAAAACTATAAAAAAGCACACGCAAATAATTTTAAAACAACCGCACTCACACAGTTTATATCACCAAGAACATATAAAAAAAATTTAAATCACAATCTAAACTAATGTTTCCTCTCCTCTCCGTGTTTGTAACCCCCTGCAGCATAAAACCCAGAAAAACAAACCTTCACACAACCTCAACAACTCCTCTCATCAAAAACTACGAATCCGTTTAAATCCAATAATTACCAATCCATATCTGAATCAGAAAAAAAGCAGAAGCGCAAAAAAAATACCCAAAAAATTACAGCAACGTTGCAAATACCAGCAAATCAGAGATTTGCCAACTGAAGAACAAAAACGCAAAATTCTCCTTTAACAGGGAAAACCAAAGAGAGCACCACAATTGACAATAAAAGGAAACGATTAAGGTTTCATCAAAACAAAGGAAAAACCAAAAATAAAAACCAAAAGAAAATGATTATAAAATAAACCTTAGTTGGATCACACTTGTTCCACAGCGGGCTGCAAAGACGCCACCCTTGAAAAGAGGTGTAAATCGGCCAAAAACCCAGCCACAACCCAGAAATCCCAAACGGAAAAAGGGGGAAACAGCAGGAATTCTTTACCCCAATTAGAGATGTCGAAACCCTCGGAACGCAAAAAATCCCGAATCTAAATAGACGCACAACGGCCTGGCAACCACAAAATCCCTTAAACCACGAAAATCAGAAACCCTTTCCGCGAAAGAAAGCACGGATATCACAGGAAACAGAGGATTGGAAGAAAGAACAGCCAAAACGAAAAGAGCAAAAGCCGAAATCAAGAAAAGCAACGAAGGAACAAAACCCTAACTCAAGATGACTCTCAAAGTCGAGAGAATAAGATGAGCGCCTCGTGGAAAACAGGGACACAAACGGAAAGAAAACAGAGAAGCGAGGGCAGTTCCGTCCGGACACTGGTGATCTACAGTGCCGGGGAAACTCACGTTTAGTATATACAAGAAGTTAGAACAAAACCAATATTTTTACATAAGAACAGAAAAGACGGAGACAGAGCATCAACTAAGAGCAGAAGACAGCAGAAATCATAAGAAAGCATATTAAAGCAGGCAAAAAAGATGGAGACAGAGCATCAACTAAGAGCAGATTTCCTCCAGATTTGCTTAATGCAAAACCATAAAGTGAGTTGTAATCTAAAGGCTCCTACCTTAAAATTAGACGTATTTATCAAATATATCATTTAATAATCCTCACGCATGTAATTATCCTAAATAATCAAATGCGAAACATATATCATAATCTTCGGTTGAGAAAGTCAGTTTGTTTTATTGGGTTTTCACTATTTTCAAAATCAATATCAAATTTTGTAAGGATGAGAAAAGAATTTACCTTTTGTTCTTTCTTAACTTTAGCTACTTCAGCTACATAACCGGAAAAAAATTAATTTAATTATAGTTTAACTAATCTGGGTTAAGATTAATCAAAAAGCTTGGAAATTTCAGATCTAAAATCACACCTCAAGCTGCAAGTAGAATCAAAACTATGGAATTTCAAAACCACTCACCTTAAACACAGAGGTCTTCGCAGCCTTCAAAGAAAAGTCACAAACTCGAAAAACCCAATCTCCTGAAATCGAAAACAAAAACTAAATTAACCATCATCACCCAGAATCCGAAGCTACAAAGAAAATTCCCAAAATCAGAACAAAAACCCCATTTAAAATCCCAATTTACACTCGCAAGAACATAAAATTCAAAGCAAAGAATTACCCAAATCAAATCGGCAGCAGGAGATGCAATCTTTTAAGGGCTTCAAATTTTCTTCAAATCGAGACCAAATTCGCTACTTTTCAGCAAGAGAGCGTTGCCGTTTTAACCCCCGCCGAATAGATCTAAACCAATTTGACTGACTTGAGCGTTTTCTGGAAGAAAGCAAGGCACATAGAGAAGTGGAGATCGGAGAGCAAGGCAAAGAGAGGTTTGAGAGAAACAAAAGGCTTCTGAGAGAGAGAGAGAGAAAAGAAAAGAAGAATCCGGAAGAGAAACGTTGTGGTCTGCGAAGAACACGCGTGGCAAAGGAGGGCAAATCCGCCCTTTAACTGTTCAACCAAGTGAAAAAAACGCCAGCAAATAAACCAAATCGAGGGTATTTTTGCCATTTTACTGTCCATGAACAGTGCATCCGAGTTTGGGTTTTAGTATAGAAAATAATGATGATTTAAATACATTCCATCAAATAAATATTGTACGACATGTGAGTTATTTTTATTTCGCCACATCATGACGTCAGTCTATAACCCAAGTATTGTCCTTTCAGTTTGCCTCTCGTTTCCACAGACAGTTTGGCGAAAATTTCATAATTCCATTTTTTTTCCTTGTCCCTATTTCTTTTCTCTACGTTGTATTCAAGGTTTAAAAAGACACTAAGCGCTGGACGGGTAGCCAGCTGGAGTTTCGCGTCCAGGCACAGAGCTTAGCGCTAAGCGAATTAAGCGAGTTCAAATAAATTTAGTATATATCATCTACATAAGTGTTAATTTATACATAACAATATATAATCCTATTGAGATAACAAAAACTACAAAATAAAATGATGTATAGGTTTAAAGTATCAGAACATAATGAAAATGTGGAAAACAAGCTTAGAATATGTGTTCAGTATTCAATAAGTCTCTTACAATTTATTAAAAAAATAAAAAGTAAAATAAAAGTTGTCTATTTTTTGTCTAAGAGAGAATCGCGATTTAGACGGATCTAATAGGACAGACTCAAAAGACCATCTCCAACCTTGATTTATGACCTATTTTTCCCCTTCTATTCCCCCCCCCCCCCCCCCAACAAAAAAATATCCAATCCAACACAATCTTAAAATTGGACCTAAAACTTAAAACTTTAAACAAAGCCAAATTTAGCACATGATTTAGCTTAGGATTAGTGGGGCTGGCCCACTACATATGTATATTTTATTTAGTTTTATATTTATAAATTCATTGAATCCAACGATTAAGATCTAATTTGACACGTCCCAACCCCGATATTCCTCGAATACCCGGATAGGCACGTGCTGACCAACATCCGAGGATGACGAAAGCCATTTATTGAATACAAGAGTAATGATTAGGAGGAAATATACATGAATAAATAATCATAGGGGAAATTAAGTGAATTAAACAGAGTTTAAGAAAATAGCTAGAGTGCACAGAACACGCTCTAAAACAAGATCACAAAGAAAAGATCATTACAAGATATCACACAAGTGAATGATAGACCGCTACTGGTAGGAAAATGTCTCGTACGTTGTGTCGTACACTACTAGAAATTTGGCTATAAGCCACCCTTTTCATTTGGTGGCTATTGTCAAGTGTTGCCACTCATATTGGTGGCAAACCTCTATGACCACCAAGCACCCTTAAACTAAAGAGTGTGATCTATGTAGATGACTCTATTGTAACAATGGCTACCAATATTGCATTGGTGTCTTTCCTGTAGTGCCATCCTAATTCACATCGGTGGCAAAGTTGCAAAATAATATTTTAAAAAATGATGCCCTGTGTGAGCATCCAAATTGGAGTATCATATTTCTTTTTCTATTTTTGGTGAGAAAACAAATTGTTATATCATTAAAATATAAGAATACAACTATAAATTTGCATAACTGATATTTTATAAAATTTTGTACAAATGTTGGAACCAAACTTTACAAAGTCTTTGAACCCTTTGTTTCCAAGAGCTTAATCATAGTTATTGAATCTGATTATCAGCTGCAGCCTGCACCCAAAATCAAACCCACAAATTTCGTAAGAATAACGTTAACTCAAGTCCAACTACAGTCTGACAATTAAAAGTTGGAGCAACAGAGTATGCATGCTTGACCCAACATTTCACCATCTAAACAATAAAAGGAATCAAAATATCAATTAATTATATAAATGAGTTTTTTATTCTATTTATGAAATAGATGACACAAATATCCACTTTGGTTGGATCAATGATTCGAAAATCCATTACATCTTCATAGTTTCCACTGTCAAACAAATTTGCAATCACTTAAAAGTTATAAATTCTTTATAAAGTATGATGGCTTACCGTAACTTCAATGTCTTGAAAACTTACTTAGTGTGCAGACTTGCATGACTAATAGCTTGAACAAAAACATTTGATTATCAGTAATAGTGACAGATATAAGGAAGGGAAAGACAAACGATGGAAGACAGAATTTTGGATAGCAGAAGATTAGCAAATGTGATTAACATGTGAAAAAAAAAAAATTATAAGCAATTGAGAGCGAGATTGAGATAGAAAGACACAGATGTTACACTTTTATCGTATGAAATACAACTTCATATGTGTACTCTTAACTGAAAGATTGAAAACCATGCTATATCCAAAACTAAAGAGAACAGTAATGCCACAACATAGGGAGAAAAAGAAGGAAAATAACATACTTTCCAGCTTCACCAAGTATACTCTTAAGGTTCTCCACTGAATGATCCTCAGGTAGGTTCTCTACCAAATCAGTGCACTATAATGCACAAATTAGATGCTTGAAGTTTCCAAAAAATAATACATAAAAAAATTAAGAACAAAAACTTAAAAAATTAAAATCAAGTTCGAAGGGATACCTTTGCTATCAACTTTTCTATGATCGGTAACAACAAAATTTAATTAAGACTGCAGTTTATGTAAAAGCTCCAAATTTATTTCACAAATCAACAAAAAGAGCTTTAGAGAATGACAGATTACCAAAACCAAAAGAGAAACTAAGGTTTGGAGTTAGCTTTATGAAGAGATTACATGTAACATAAAAATGAAATAAGACCAACCAAAACACAATAAATAAAAATGAATTCCATGATAATATTACCAAACTAATTATGGAGTAGTAGCAAGTAACGATGATAAGAAATTACCAGAGCTTGGCTCCAAAACAGGGCACTCTATTCTTATAGTTGCCATGATCCCTTAATCAGCTTTCTCTAACCTTGAAACATATTAAGAAAACAGCAAATCAACCTTGAAGCATATTTCAAGCATAAAACAAACACTAAAAACAAATAGTTTTTCAGTTTCTAGACTCCAAACATAGAATACAAGAAGAGCTCTCAAACATTACAGAGTAATCACATATGTTAAATAGTATTTCACAACAATGTATATGTGTATATTTCAATAATAATCACAGCTACTAGAAACAAGTAACAAATCAAGAAGTGGAACATTAACAACTTCTTCACCGGGTATTACAATTGCCCGGACGGGTAGCCATTAACAACTTACTTCTACGTTGTATTCAAGGTTTAAAAAGACACTAAGCACTGGACGGGTAGCCAGCTGGAGCTTTGCGTCTAGGCACGGAGCTTAGCGCTAAGCGAATTAGGCGAGTTCAAATAAATTTATTATATATCATCTAAATAAGTGTTAATTTATACATAACAATATATAATTCTATTGAGATAACAAAAACTCCAAAATAAAATAATATATAGGTTTAATGTATTAGAACATAATGAAAATGTGGAAAACAAGCTTAGAATATGTGTTCAGTATTCAATAAGTCTCTTACAATTTATTAAAAAAATAAAAAGTATAATAAAAGTTGTCTATTTTTTGTCTAAGCGAGAATCGCGATTTAGACGGATCTGATAGGACAGACTCTTAAGACCATCTCCAACCCTGACCTATAACCTATTTTTCCCCTTCTATTCCACACCCCACCCCCCCCCCCCCCCCCAAAAAAAAATCCAATCCAACCAAAGCTTAAAGTTGGACCTAAAACCTAAAACCTTAAACAAAGCCAAATTTAGCACAGGATTTAGCCTAGGATTAGTGGGGCTGGCCCACTACATATGTATATTTTATTTAGTTTTATATTTATAAAGTCATTGAATCCAACGGTTAAGATCTAATTTTATTAAATTCAATGGTAAAAAAAAAAAATTAACAATCCAAATTTAAATATAACGGCTAAAATAATAACAATAAAAAAAATCTTTTATTTGTTTCATATTTTTTCATAGTGCTTACGAGTTTCATGGTGTGACAGCCCGTTCCGGATTTTCAAACCGTAGGGGTGAAACGACGATTTTGCCCCTAGTGTGGTTGTTTCGTTGTGTGGTTGTTTTTGGATTTTGTTGGCAGGTTTTGGACCACACACACACTCTCCCACACCCCATCACCCTTTTCCCTGTCCTGCACCCCTGTCCCGAGCTCTCTCTCTCTCCCTTTCCTATCCTCTTTGTACGGACACACCCAAAAACACACCAAACCTTCACAGATCGAGGAAACAAATTACATATTCCTGCTCGTAAGGTCCGTAGAAGTTCAACCATACCTATTTCAGGTAAGGATACCTTCGTTTTCATGTCGAACTCGGGATACCCCGATTTGGTCACTGTTTATGCACAAGTTAATTCTTGTGTTTTTGGGAATTTCAAGCTTGTAGGAAGCTTGGTGGGGTCCTTAGGAGGCTCGGGGTGGTTTGTTTGAAGGTTTTGGACGTCGGAATCATAAGTTACAAGCTTGGCCGGAGTTGGTGGTGTTTTCTCGTCGAGAATCCATGGGTTTTAGTGCTTGAAAGTGGTATGGATTTGTTCCTCTCGTTGTAAGCTTCATTTTGGTACCAATTTTGTGAAATTTGGTTGAAAAACGAGTGAGATACAAGGTTTTAAAGTTTTCCCAATTTTTCGGCGCCGGAGCTTTGCCGGAGAAGATGACGGAATATTCCGTCAGTTTGGACGGAATATTCCTAACGGCGTTAATGGAATCCGTTAAAGTTAACGGAATATTCCTGACGGCGTTAACTGACGCCGTCAGTGTGCCAGGCACGTGTATACCTATATACTGATGTTTTTCCCAAAAAATGAATTGAAATGTTTATACGTTTATATGCCATGCTTATTGTTGCCATTTATTTACGCATTATTAGTCCCATATGTATATATGTCTGGTGCTACGGACGCACAGGTAAGTGCCAGGTGAGTTATGATTTATG